TATATATATGCATCAGCACTAATTTTTTAATCATCTAATAAGAATCACAATGCATTTTTTAAGCAATATATGTTTAAATTCAAATTCAAAATCATTAAGGTTCTCAATTTTAATAAGTTTATAGTCAAATTGATGAGCTCGACAGGACGAACATGATGATATCAAAATTGATTTAATCAGATTTGAATGGAGCTCGGATCAAGCTATTAAATCACTTTTGGATGCTTCTGATCAATATTTGAATGGTCAAACAAAATTCAAATTTGGCATGTCTATAGTTAAATCGAGTGTCTTATGTTCCCTTAATTCATAGGGCATTAAGATTCTCAAATCATTAAAAAATCTCATATGATCATAGGGGATCAATATGGGTTGTACGATCAGATGATTGGGCAAGTTAGTTTTCAAATGACCAAAATGTTGCTCCCTTAGAGCATATAAGTAGACCCCCTCTTTATTTGGGAGAGAAAAAAATACTCAAATTTAGGTGTTGTTCTAGATCGAAGGCTGACAATAACTTTTGAAATTTGTACCAGTCAATCACCATCAAACATAACCCGCTGCCCACTATCGACCACCATCAATCGCCCCGTCTAGTCAATGTCAGTGAACTTTGCATGCTAACAAAGTTTTTTGAACGTGGTTTAAGGACACATCTCGAACATGATGTAATGATGAATATCGAACAAGGTATAACAATATATCATGAATGCGGTGTAACGACATATATTTAATATGGTATAACAAAATAACCCAAGTACGGTGTAGCAAATAACAACATATTGAAGATCAAACGATAACTTTTAGAAACTACTATTTACAACGACCACATTCAGAATAAGACGACATTCTTTAAACTCCTAATGTCTTTTTCCTTATGTCATATACTGGTAAGTGATGTCTCTAGTATATAATAGTAAACCCGACAAAAGAGTTGCAACCACCAGCCAATACATCATAAACTACATCCCATGTGGCTAATTAATACTGTAGTTTCACATTATGATCGATGTGGCTAGCTAATGCTCTTGCAGTTATCAATGATAGCTTATGTGGTCTGTTAAAACTGTAGCTTCTCATTGCAACCACTATGACTAATTAACACCCATGCAACCATGAACTATTACCTATGTGACCAACTATGACCAATATAGATAACTGCTAATGCAACTATCAACTACGGCTTATGTGACTAACTATGGTCTATGTAATTCATTGCTACTGTAATCTATAACTCCTACCTTTATGCCAAATTGAAGCTACTGCAACTATCAACCGTGACCTATGTGATCAACAATGACATAACCAATTAATTGCAATTGTAACTTCCAACTACGATCTCTGTGGTCAACTCACACTATAGTTGATACGAACTATGAATTATGTTACCAACTATGCCCTATGCAACTAATTGTTATTATAACTTTCCACTAGGCCTCTGTGGCCAACTGATGCTCTTACAGCTGCCAACTATGACTTATGCAACCAACTACAACATATGTGGCCTATGTGGTCAACTGGCGCTACTACAACCTATGTGGCTAACCACTACTTTTAATTGTCACATATGA